CTTAGTGGAACATTGATGAGTGTTCAAGTAGGATGCTGAATAACACATTTTACAACAGATGCAGAGATTTAGTTATTGTGAAACATTAAGCCTGAAGTAAAACATACAGAAGTGTGAGTGTCATATGCAATATGCTGTGGCTGTGTCCTAATGCTTGTGACTTCTGAAGAGACAAACTGCATTAGTTAAAAGATGTTATTGCCTGTGTGTGACCATCTGGCCTTCTGCTCTAGACTACTGCTCCTTCCATTGTTCACTGGAAGGAAATGTGTCTGAGCCTCATGTTCCTTTGTTTGCAGTGTGGCTTGTGCGAGTGGCTGGGCTGTGCGAGTCGCTGGGCTGCCCTAATATAAAATCCATCTTCTGTCAGCTTTTTCTGGAAGCAGCTGATAAAAAAATCCTTTTTCTGATAAAAATAGCTAAACTCTACCTACATAAGGAAACATGCTCTAAAGGTGTTGGTTTTCCTCTGCCTCGGATGTACAAGATTATGTTAGATGAGTCTTACCACAGTGCAAGCTTCTTCTGTCCTGAAAGCCAAAAAACAAACAAGGGGTTTGGACTACATTTTCAGTTTTGCTTAGGTTACTGAGCACAGAGGGAAAGACTTTATTTTAGTATGTCAATCCCAGCATGCCTAGAACTGTTAGCTGCTTTCTTTTTTTATATCAAAGCATTTCCAATGGGATCGGTTCTGATCACAGCTTTGCATGCTTCTGTAAGATTTAAGCTTCTCTTTCAATTCTTCTTTGCTGCAAGCCTTTTTTTTGTGTGTGTGTGTGTGTGTGTGATATTCAGAGTGCAAAGATGCCTGAGAATTGCTTTAATGAGTCTTTACTGTAGTCCTGTGAGTGGAGTTAGATCATGCAATTAGTGAGTTTAAAATAGGTCATCTTCTATACAGCTTCTCTCAAAACTGGACAAAATTATTTTGGCTTCTTGACTCTAGTATAATGACTCTAGGACTATAGTCAGTGGTAACCAGCTGATACTTAAAATTGAAGCTTGTCTTCAAAGTTTGAAACTTGTATAAGGGAACACAACCATGACATGAAGTTCTGTTTGCTGAGTTTCTTAGCTTTATGACCACCTAATGTTCTGAATTTGAAGAGAACTGGTATAGCTGGGTTTACCTGTTGCTGGTATGACCACTGGAATTAAAAAATAAAGATACAGTTTTGCTGAATTAGGAATAAGATTTCATTTTAGGATTTAAATCTATTATATTGAGGTGACTAGACAGTAAATGTATGGTAATTTTGATAAAAAGTCTAAATCAGCTCTTTGTCTTGACACTTGTCTTGAAACTTTGCTTATGTATTTTGTTATTTTTTTTAACTTTTATCTAGGAATCTATTAGATGGTTGGAAGTTGAAAAACTACTTCTTGAGATGACAGAAGAAGTAGACTATGATGTGGATTCTTATGCTACCCAACTTGAAGCAATTCTAGAGCAAAAAATTGATATTCTGACCGAACTTAGAGGTAAATTGCTTTTAATCACTTTTCTGTGCATTATTAGCATATGCCATGGAGCCTTGCTGTAATAATGAGGAGAAAAAAACCTGTGTGAATATATTCTAGGGTCTTTTTTACCTGCTTATGCTGCTCTGCAGTGTCCTGTGGTAGGAACATTTATTCTGCTGCCTGAGAACAAGTTCGCATCTGTGCTCAAATCAGCCTAATGTAGAGTCTATGCTTTACCTCCAGAAAGTATAAACTCAATCCTGCAAATTTTTGTTTTCTTTTTTCCAAAACACTGAAAGAAGATAAGAAAGTATAACTGTGTGAAAAAAACCAGAAGGCAATGCAATGAAGAAAAAGTAGTAGGAACTCCCAGTTCCAGCTCTGTCTCACTCTGTAGTGTAGCAAGGAGCCTGCTGTCATTTTTTAAGACTATACTTACGAGTGGCATCAAGCTCTTCAGTATCTTGGTTGGTAGTTTACTTCTTTTTTTCAACAGCCTTTCTGTTTGAATTTTGTCAGCTAATCTTTGTTGAAAAACAAATTGCAGGCTTATTACTTTACTTGGTGCCTAAGATTTACTCTGCCACTTCTAAAATCAGCTTGTCATCTTGGTACCTCATGGGGATAAGTTTTTCGTTTCCATTTTTTGTTAACTATTTGGACTCCAGGAGACACAGCTATACTGGTAAAGCTTAAGGGTGGGGTTTGGGGCTGAGTGGAGGGGTTTTTTAATGTGTTAGAAAACACAAAAAAGTGTTTTCACACACACAAAAAAAGTTAGAATCCTACTTTTTATTCAGACTGAGTATCTGCTGTAAATTAGAAGAATGCATCAAGCAAATCAGATTGACCTGTTTGCCTTGTAAGCATGCCAGTTATGCTTTAGCTAGGAATTGGGGGTTCCTTGTTAATTTTCTTTTTATGGATGGTAGCTTCCTTTTCAGAAGACAGTTTGAGACACCTGCAGTGATAAAACACAGTTTAGGTGACTTCTAGATACTGTTTTTGAAACAAGGTACTGGAGGTAAAATGCTATCCAAGAGATCCTTACATCTTTATAGGAAGCATAATGTATGTGTAGTTTTACAGGAGAGAACACCTGAAAAGTCAAAAATTCTGTCCTGTTGTCTTCTGTGTTCTACTCATGGTGCATAATGATCACTGGATTGTTTAACTTTTACTTCTATCACTATGGGACTGACATCTTTATGCTGTCCTTTTGGTTTCTTTCTACCCAGTCTTGGGCTTATTACTGGGGAATGGAAGGGAACAGGAATAGAAGTATGAGGATACCACACTTCCTTTCTCAGGTTTCTCCCATTCCTGTTATGATGAAACAAATGAATAATGCATTTAACTATTTAGAGTTGAATAAGTTCCAGAATTTATTCACCAATGCTTTTCACATTCATAGAAAAACAAGGGGACTAGAAATTAAATGTACAGAAGAGGCTGATTGTACACTGAATAAGATTTTGTATGCCTCCAAGGTTGGTTTGGAAGGTACTGGGAAGGAAAAGTACACATGTGGTATCTCCCTAGATTCTCTAAGATAAAAGAAAGTGTGAATAGTTTGCATTCTGGGCATGCAGTTGTGTAGTTTACAAACTTATTATGCCAAAAGACCGAGGTAGCATCAAGAAGGGACTAAGTAGCTGAGCAGCTTGTTTGTATGGTGAGTATTGAATTTAAGTTTGTAGTTTGTAGCATCAACTACTTTTGTGAAGGAATGTTCTTTGTTGTGCACTAGGGCTGGGATGTGGAGGTTTAGGGCTTATTTTCCAGATCTGTTCAGCACAGGCACATCAGTACTCATTCTCTTATGTTTTCATTAAAGACAAAGTGAAATCGTTCCGGGCAGCTCTTCAAGAGGAGGAACAGGCCAGTAAACAGATCAACCCGAAAAGACCACGTGCCCTTTGAAATGGGCCCTTGCTGCTAAAGGAATCCATGAACCTGTACTGCTGTAGCACACATTTGTTACAAAACCCAGTGGCCGGGGGAACTCAACTACTTGAAAGTGTAAAAGCGTTAGAAATGTCTGTGGAAATGTCCTGTTTCTTATTCACCTGAGTGACATTTTCAGTTTTATGTGAAATGCTCCTATGATGTCTACAAAATGCTTCTAGACCAGACAGCACATCCATGCAGGGTTCAGATCTGTGAAGCACTTTGTTTTTAATATTTCATTTATTCAAATAGTAACACTTGTTTGGAGATACTTGCCATGTTTTTAATAATGAAGTAAAACTGTGGCCACTAAAAAGTCACAGCACTTCCTTCTGACCATGTTTAGTCTATTACAAAGACTGGCTGTGCCGTTTTAAAATTGTGGCGTGCATGCACACACTAGTGGTTTTGTATAACTTCTCTTCTACAGACAGCTGTGCTTACCTATTCCCATTCTGTGCCTTGATGAAGGCTACTTAACCCTAGACATCCTTTCTAAAGCACAGCCTTAAAAACCTACATTCCTTATGTCAATATAAATTACTTTAGTGTGTGTACATTTTTGATGTGTTTTAATACTTATTTTTTGGTGGCTAGTTTCATTTCACAGGATGTGCCATATCATTTAAACAGGAACTGCAAGCTGTTAGGAGTGGACAAACAGCTGGACATTCCATTTTCCTTGTACAAATCTGGAATCTTGATTTATTTGAATACCATAAAGGGTGGTTATATTAATTCTAACATTTTCTCTGTGATAATAAAAAAACAAAAAAACCAACAAACCAACAAAACCCCATAAAAATATAAATTAGTTGATGTGTAATAAAGAGTAATGTTTAAGTACTAAGGAGAGTTGTACCTTAGGATAATGCAGATATATGGTATGTGGTGATAATGCTGTGTATGGATAGTTTAACTGTCAAACTTTGGGGATAAATACATCCATACTGGCCTTTCACATACTGTTTTAAAAACTTGGCTTTTGATGCATGACAAGCTTACATGTACATTAACTGTAGTTTGTAGGTAGTTTGAGTAGTTCTGTTGCTTTAAGAAGTAGCTAATACCTATTTTTCCCTTTGTACAGTGCCAGCAGCTGAAAAGTGGGGTGAAATTTGACGATTTTGCACAATACCTCTACCTAGCGCTAATAGAAATCCTGCAAGTACCTAAATTCTCACAAATGGCGCCATGTATATCAGCACTTTTTAGATGGTGGCACTCAAGTTATTTTTGCAAGTCAGTATCCAAAAAAGACTGACCTTTCATGTAAGAATTTCCTGTCAAATGAAGAACTGTAGACCTCTCTAGGAGTTCTCCCTATTTCCAAGAGTTCATATCAGCAGACTTTCCCTTGGAACTGTTTAAGAATTACTTTTGGAATACAAGCCTGTTTGTTTGTGCCAGGCGTGGGGGGAAATAAAGGGAAGGCAATGAAAAGAGAGTTAAATGAGCCAGAATTTCTTGTAGTGTTTAATGTTTGTATCTCCCATAGAAAGGTAGGCTATGGGAAGCTCTTGTCGCATCATGGTTAAAAATATAAAATTCTCCTGTGTGTACACATTAAAACTGAAACAATGTAGATTTTACATAATGTGTTTAATAAATTAAGCTATTAAATGAATTACATCTGAGAATTTTTGTTACTGTTTCAGAAGGGTTTAAATTTGTCAGCACATTAGTTATATTTTTGAAAAGAATACTCTGAATTCAGAGTAAGTATTTCCTTCTGCAGCCAACTCTTCTCCACATGTTCATCATACAGGAAGAAATTTCCCAGACCACTGTCCTAACTTAGTTTTGCATCAGGTCTTAAAAGAAACATCACACCTTTCTCAACATTTACGAACGTCATCCATCACATTTAAAAGAAAAAAAATAACTTGAAAAGACAGACAATAGCTTTTGTTAGCAGGCAGGTTATTGTGTGAGAGGGTTCCTTTGAAGCTGCTCCTGCAGAATTCTGTAAAGTCTCCGAAGATTGAGACGTCCTACATGAGTAACAGTGGCTTCCATACTATTTGTCTGTAGAGCCACAACCAGGCTGTGGCTTCCTGCCAGTACCAAAAGGGACAGGAAAGACAGAATTCACTTTCAGCAGCTTTTTATAATGGCCAGTCTTCGCGAGCGAAGATCCGGGGAAGGTCTCTACACCTTCCAGCCTGCGCATTGGATTTTTTAGGTGAGACACAGTGTGTGCGGAACTGAGCCCACCCTTTAATCCTAAGGTTCATCTGCCGGGGCCAAGCGAGCTTGGACGGTGGCAGCGAGGTCCTTAGGACGTAGATGGATTGCCTTTTTAAGGGTTAACGAGCTCCATCTGCCTGGGAGTGGCCCTGACTGGGAATCGAACCCGGGCCTCAGAGGTGACAGCGCTGCGCCCTTAACCACTAGACCACCAGGTACTACGCTGTGTAATTACATGTGTCCTGTCAGCCAGCACATGCAAGCAGAAACTGTGTCTACACCCAGTCTTTGTGCCAGAGCCTGCTGTAAGTGTGACTTACACAGATACTGAAGCAGTGAGACTTGAGATAACCTGATATGACTGGTTAGGCATCTGACTTCCTGTAGCCCATTGTCATAATGGACTGGAAATACTTTTAACAGGACTCAGACAAGTTTATCCTCAATTCCTGTCCTGTAAAATGAAAGCATTTACGAAGTGTGACACAAGCCTCCAGCATTTGTTCCTTCTGTCTTAGTCTGGGCATATTCCTTGTGGCAACTTACCCAACTCACAATTTGGTTCTGCATGCAATGAAGCAGCATGAGCATTATTGAATTATTAAACTGTGAAATAAATGAGCAATTCAGTTTTTAAAGTCAACATCTCAGGATGCGTGCAAATTCAAGTCTATTTCTGAATCAATGACTTCTAAAGAACTGAGAGGGGATGTCAGTGGTTGGACTCAAGAGATCTTTTCTATCCCTAATGATTCAATGATGCGTATAAATGAAGTTTATCTTAGAGGAGGTTTTGCTGATTTGCCTGTTTTCTCTTTTGCACTTAACTGTTGTCTCATGGAAAGATACACTACACTATATCTGAAAAAAAATCACATGGTATTTAATACACAGGGTGATGCTTTCACCCCTGCATGATGCTACAATTAATAGTTGATGTTTTTGACAGCTGTGCTGCAGTTAATGCAAACTTCGTTGGAAAAGCTCTCCCTTGTCCTTAACAACTCACATATATATATATAACCCAAACTGTATTAGATGGTTCAGTACTTTCTGTGAGGACACAAGGATGACTGCCCTAAGTCTCACTGAAAGCTTTGATCTATGCTAAAACTCCTCCTTGCCTTGAAGGGTGAAATAGTTATCTTACAAAAATAGCTACTTGAATTTATACTTGGCCAAAAAAACCCTTCTTCTGTGCTTATGAGATATGGCCCTTCGGTAGTTTTCTTCTAGTTACTACAGTGGGGGAGGAGAAGGTAAAGGTGATTACACTGGTGGTTTCAGGTACCACAGTAATGTTTCTGTAAGTGATACCAAGCCCATAAGACAAATGCTGTTGTTCCCAAGGAAGAGTTATTTTTTTCTCAAGATTTCTCAAAGAGAGGCAGATTACTAACAGACTTGGAATGTGGGTAGTTACCAGAGGACAACTGGAAGAGACAGGCATTTCAAATCAAAAAAAGTGTTTAAATACACTTTAAAACAAACACACAAACAAACAAAAAACCAAAGGGAATGATCACAACTCCACTTTTGTTGTCCAGACCAGTTATGGGTTGTAATGTTGAGTATTATGCAAGAATATATGGAGGTGATCAGAGAACACAGATTTCAATTATGTCAACTTCAGTCCAGTTTTGAGTATATTCAGAAATACATTGTCATGAGGAAGTCCAACACCTTGCTTCAGTCGTGAAAGAATGTACTGTTTTTAAAATACCAAGCAGCAGAGCTTACCTGCTGTTTGTGATAAACCACATCTAACATTTTAATAAGAGCCCAAGCATATATGGCATATTTCGTTCATTGCTCTTATGAGAAGAGCTTGTCCCGTTGCACTCGCTCTGACTTAGGTAAGACTTTGGTGACAAAAAGCAACACCTCTCGTTCTTCTAGTAGGATCTATGAGAAATGGATGCCTTCTGAATTGAAGCCATGCAGCAATCTGAAAGAGTGAAACATTTATGTTACAATGCTACAAATTTATACTTCAGCTTAAGGCATTTTCAAGACTTGCTGGCTGGCAAAGAAAACAGTATGAAAGCAGCCATCACTGGTCAACTGCAATAAAAAATTGCAGCAAACTACAGTTAGTTATGTTAGATCCTACCAGGTTTACTATGATTCTTTAAAAGCAGTAGTAGTCTTAGTTAGTATACTGAGAAACAGCTATGAACTTTTACCTCTAATTAGGAGAGGAGTCATGCTGCCACTTAAATTAACTGTCCATAAGTAAAAGCAGCATATAGCAGGTTATTATTCATATTTCAAATTATACTATAGACTGTGGCTTAATCCTCAAGGCAAAGAAAGACTCTGTAAGACTCCAGGAAAATTCTAATAACAGTTACATTACTAAAGTCATTTTTAAAGGAGATACAGAAGGGTCTAGTACACAAACACCAGAAATAGAGATCTTTAGCTAACTGCTTCTCAGTGTTGTAATCAGCATTTAAAATATATATAGGGTTTAAGTGTTTGTTAAGTGTTGCCAGGAGCATCTGGTACTGAGAGGGAAACTACCTTTCCTGTGCAACCCAGCACTGAGCTAACACAGGTACAGGTACAGATAGAATTTAACGCAGCTTAAAAGGAAGGCATAAAGAGTTAAAAAAAAAAGGATACCGAATGAAATCATCTATATCCATTGAGCGGGCTCGTTTTTCAGAGTAACCTGTATCTTTTAGAACTGTCTGTATTTTCTCTGCAATTTTGAAGTTTTCAGGTATTTCCTGTCAACGGAAAATAGGATAGAAATTATATTCCACTCATTGCACAAAAAAGGTTCATTTAAATTACCTATGTTTTCCTGCTCTTGGAACAGTTTTTATTTCAAGTGATAAAAAGTTGTATTTTTCTTGTATGAATTATTGTATTACTCTATTGTATCTGAATTTTTATATCTCAGCTCATCCACTATAAATGAATCACAGCAGTATTGCAAGACACGGAAACTTTTATTAGATTAGCAGAAGACCTTGAGACATACACAGAAAATATTTTAATAGCATACTCGATTTTAAGCTTTTTCACTATAAATTAGTGACACTTTTAGATTTTTCACTAAGAAAAGAGGCAAGTTCCTACCTCCCTCAAATTCTCTTGGAAAAACTTTAACATGTTACACTTTTCAATATTAATTTTTTACTCTTTTAAAAGACAATATGGAGGTCACAGTACACAGAAATAGAATATATTAAAAAGGAACTTACTGTATTATGTAAGGAACAATGAATTCGGTAATTATGATCCAGCAACTGCTCTACAGCACTTGACCTAAAAGAAATACAAGTTTAGAATGGAAACCAAACTATAACTACCTTTTTTATTTGACTGGTTGTTAATCTTCACTATAAAAAGTTGTAACAACTACACAGAGCTGTTCTTTTTAAACAGCTGTCTACTTTTCCTCTAAAAGACATGGTTAACTTGATGAGCTCTCAAATTTTGAAAAGATTTGACAGAAGTTACTTACTTAAATGCTGCAGAAAGTGTCTTGTTTTTCCTAACAAAGGCTATCCTTACCAGACCATCCCACTCCTGAAATTAAAAATTTCAGAATTTACAGAACGGAACATATAGCTACTACAAACAAGAATAGTCACTACGGACAACTTCACAACCATATTGAACACAAAGGAAAATCCTTCATGAAAATGAAATTCTAAGCAATACAAAACCAGTCCTGTCTTGGATAGAGCAATACAAATGGAGAAAATACTTCACCCACAAAAACTCTTAACTGTACTTTTTCATGCCTAGGCACTACTGGTCAGACCATACGTGCTGAGAAGGCAGATACTTAAAATCTGGCTAACCTTGGGCAAGGCTGAAGTGGCTGTTCAGTGTTTTAAAAATTAAGAATCCTGTAACATCTGTCTTCAGAGATTACACACACTCGTCTGAAGATAAGACTTCTCATAGATATTCCTTTGACCAAAACCTATAAAGTCATCAGCTCTAAGGGTCTCTGGGAGTACAATGAAAGGGACATTATCTGCACCACTCTAACTGACCTTGATTTTACCAGAATTACTGTACACAAAGCTGTACCCAAATTGATGGTTGCACATTCTGTTAATGTTGTAACACAAGCCTGATCAATAGACTATATATTTCAGAAACTCCAACACATAGCTGGTACTTCAGAGTAAAATCAGAACATAGAACTAAGTAGTATTATCACCAGTATGTTACGTTGAGTATACAGTGGTCACCTGGAAGTTGATAGGAGGTGGTGGGTTCTTTGGCTCTATTCTTACAACACTGGATTCAACTTTGGGAGGAGGCCTGAAGTTGTTCTTTCCAACCTGTTGGTCAAGAGCAGTGAGGCAGCTGTGTGAACAAGCAGCAAATCCTCCTATCCCTTGAAACACCCTTCTTCTGTCTTTGACAGCTCTGTTACCTAATGCAGAATGACATACCTTCATCAGGTGGTCCACTCGAGCTAATAACTGAGTATTAATGGAGAGTCTGCAGTACAGTTTAGTTCCTGGTTTTGCAACCAAACGAAGTGCAAATTCCCTTTGAAACATAAGTATTGCACACCTGAGAATAACAGATATCAGAAAATTAATTCTAAGTAATCAATTTTTATGTCAAAAGAGAACTAACACACTTGGAAAACACACACTGTGCCTCAGCACTTACAAGCAGTGAAAGTTTATCATAAACAAACTCTGCTTTAATTAGCCCAGAGTGCACTAAAAACCCTAAAAGCCATCAGAAAACCTGGTCAAGCCAAACGAGTCATCTCAAAGATGTAACAGAATTTATTATTAATAGTGCTAAATGAATCAGGATCAAAGACACAGGCTGGTCTCAAGTTATTTGCCTGTAACAAATCATTTTGAATAACTCCTTGTTGAGTCCTTCAAATCCAAACTCTTCAAAAATTGACCAGTAATGTCACCAACATTAGTGTTTTAGTGACTGAAATTAAGAACTGCAGACATACTGAACAACACACAGAAATACTTGGGCAATTAGACTTTTAGATCAGACAACAGGCAGTGACCTGGATTTGGATCCAACCCTTTTCACACTACCTTTTTCAGGTTGGAAGGCATTTGGAAGGCTACGATGCCCTACTTATCCCTGAAACGACAACTAATTGTAATACTAAAGAGGTGTAACTCCTGTTTTCATCAACCAGATGCCAAGACTGAATCTCCTCATCTTAATATATCAACATAAACTAATTTCCAGGCACTATCAGGTTTATATTACAGAAGAATTTTGGTGTGGCTCTGATGTATCAAATCGCTATCTTAAGAACCAAAAAAGAAAATTGATCTGGAAATATTTTTAAAACTACTTTTTTTCCTATGAGGCAATAGAGAGCTCTACTCTTCCACGTACCTGAAAAAAGGTCTATGAAGCAATAACTTGAAAACAAAAGGTGAAGAAATCTGAAGAAAAGAGTAACAGAGTAAGTAAAATTTCTGGGAAATTATCATTTAAAAGAAAAAAATTTCTACTGTATTGTTTACCCCATACCTGATAAGGCAAGTTAGCCACACATGCATCAAAGAATGGCAAGTCTGTTTTCAAGATATCTCCAACCTTGATTTCAAGTTTGTTTGCCAGACACCTGTGGGAAAAAATACATTTTGATTATTCTCAGAGAAGCACGTTGCCAATGTTTTGTCAAAGCGGCTCCACTGTTTCAAGTGCTATTTCCACAGTTGATACTTACGTGCCCTGGATTCTCTTCTGAAGTTCACCAACAAGTCTAGGGTCAATTTCACATGCAATAACCTGAAAAAAAAATATATTTGCAACTTTATGCAACACCTCCTAACTGGGATTAAAATTTTAATCATAAAAACCCCCAACCCTGTATCTATTGCCGTAGGTTTAAATAATTCTTAAAAATTCCCTATTAGGCTATGCACCTTCCTCCCTTTCTGAATACATGCAAGCTTTACGACATAAATGGATAACAGCAATGTAGTTTGATAAAATAACAAAAGATTTACACAGACAGCTAAAAACTCATTGGGATTATGCAAATGTTAAGAAAAATATCCATGGAGTGATTCTACTGATTTGAATGCACTGTATAAAGACTACAGTCTAAGCCACAATGTGGCCAGTGGTAAGATGGTGCGCGTGGAAGGGAATTCGCACTTACTTTTTTTACTTTCTCCAACATCTTTACTGTCAGGTTGCCGGTTCCCGGGCCCACTTCCAGAATGACATCCGTGCGGCGCAGAGCAGCCTAAGGACAAACAGCATTTCGGGTGCTTGCCTAGAACGGATTCCGCGCAACCATTTGACTTCAGAACGAAAGATAAGAGCTTTTTACGTAGCAAAAAGTTCAAACCGGGTATCAGAAAAGCGTGAGAGTCATTTAGAAAGGAAGGAGCGGGAAATAGGGACTTATGCTGTCCGGGAGCAGAAAAGCCAGCGAGCAGCCACGTTAAAAAAAATAAAAATCACACACACAAAGAAGTAATGTGATGGCAATAACCGCGGTTCAGCGGCAATAATCGCGGATCAGCGAAGCCCGGGAAGGGCCGGAGCCAGGACTGCGCGTTCCCGGAGCTCCCGGCGAGTCCCGGCTCCCGGGACAGCCGCCGCCTCCCACCTTCTCGATGATGCTGTTGACGACGAGAGGGTTCTTCAGGATGTGCTGCCCGGCCCCAGTATTGAAGAGGATGCCTACGGCAGAGACCGCCGTGTTACCGCGGGTGCTCGGCCTCCCCGCTCCCGGCATCCCGCCCGGCCGGCCCGGCCTGGCCCGGCCCGTACTCACCGCCGGCGCGGCTCTCCCGGCGGTCTGAGCGCTTCCCGGCCCGCGCGTTGGGCATGTCGGCGGCTCCGCTGGGATCCCTCGGGAAGCGCCGCGCTCGGCTGGAACCGTCCGGGACAGCGCTCCACGTGCCCCGCCGCTCCCCACCGGCCTCGCGTGCCCCCGCCGCGCGGGACAGCGCCCCCTGGCGGCCCGGCGGCCCGCCCTCCATCCTGCCGGGAAAGGCGGCTCCTGCCCCCTGTGATGTGTCACCCTTAAGGGGAAAGAGGGCACCCGAAATTCGTAAACCCTCGTGGTCGGAGGGAGAAGTCAGAACGTTCGCAAAAATCTAAGGAAGTTTTGTAAGTGAACTACACATGGCATGGAAATCGGTGTGTTAAGTCCCTGACCTACTATCTAAGCACACGAGAGTGGGGTTTGGTTAAAGGGGTAGGATGAAAAAGGAGGAAAAAAAAAAGATGAATTAAAGAGGAGAGAAAGGGAGGAAGGAAGGAAAAGAGGGAAGGGAAGGGAAGGGAAGGGAAGGGAAGGGAAGGGAAGGGAAGGGAAGGGAAGGGAAGGGAGAAGGAAAAAGGAAGTAAGGAAGAAAATAAAGAATAAAAGCACAGTCAATTCTTGTAGACTTTTCTGGAAATGAGTCAGAGGGATTCGGGGGGCTTGGATAGTCTTGTCCCCCCTACCAGATCGACCTTTGGGCAATACTGCATGGCCGTTCCTGTGCTGGTGCTTTTGTTTGTTGGGTCTCCGTGAAATAGACCAAGGATGTTTGTCCCAGAAAAGTGCTTCTTTACCTCTGCATGGCGCCTTCTCCAGCCACAGCTTGTTCTTTCTCAAGGCATGTTAAATACCAACAGCTCTTGGTTGGTTCCACAGCCACCCGGCTACTGGCGCTTGGGACAAACACATTAGCTCCGTCTCCTCTTGGATCCTCCAGCCCGGTGGGCGGCAAGGCCCGCGCACGGGACAGACCCAGCCGAGGCAGCCCCGGGGTGACACGAAACGGTGTGTTGGATGAACGCGCGGTTTTCGGGAGCCACTGCTCGGCGTGGCCGGACTGCCGAGAGCGGAGGGACGAGGGAAAGGGAGATATTCCAGAGAGAGACCTGCTTAGGGCAGCTGTGGGTGCGCAGGGGGCAGGGAAGGCTGCGGGAGGACAGAGAGCAAAGGGAAGCCGCGGAACGAAACGTTGTTTTTCAAAGAGCATATCTCCTGCATCATTACTGTGTTCTGTAGGAACAGCTGGAATGGGGGACGCTTCAACCCCGGCCTTTGCGCGGCACAGAGGCCTGTGCGGCGCTGCACTGGTTCCAAGCCGCTGGAGCACCGGGAGCACAGACAGTCCACAGGCTGCTGCAGTACCGGGGGTGCCGGCTTAGGGCTTGCTGGTCCCCTAAGCCAGCAAAAATCGACTCACTTCAAGTTAGAAACGCTAGCATGAAGTACACTTTAATTTTCATATTTTTTAATATTTTAAAACTTCCTATATATATTTTAGTAGCTCCATGCATTGGCATTAATATCACGCATTTCCGCCCTCGCGCCCTCCCCCGAGGCGCTGCAGCCGCCCAAGAACGTCCACAAAGGGCGTCTGCGAAGCGATTCTAAGCTCCCGACATCCTTTATTCCGGGGCCAGTCCCGGCTCCGGAAAGCTCTCCTAGCCCTGGAACGCCCCTGGCCGCGGGACGTCACGTGGCGCCACCGCCCCGCCCTCTCCCCGTGAGGGCCCGCCCCTCGCGTCGTGTATGCGGGGCCGCCGCGCGTCGCTGAATAGTGACGTCAGGGAGGCGCGCCGGGGCGGGTGGCGGTGGTGTCGTCGCCGTAGGGGCTGTTCCTCGGTTTGTGCGAGGCCGGGAAGGGATCGGGAGAGAGGGAAAAGCGGCTTCGGCTCCCGGCATGGAGCCGGGGCAGTTTCTCGGCGGGCTGCTCCTCCGCACCCCCTCGCCTGCTGCTTCCCCCGGTCCACCGTTGGCGCTGCCCGTGCCGCCGCGGCTCTGGCGCAGTGTCCGCCGCGGTACCCGCTCCGCTGCACTGCCCCCGGGGAAGAGCAGCGCGGCCTTCCTTGCCGTCTGTGCTGGAACTGGCAAAGGGTTTGCTCGGAGCTGGGAAGAAATAATTATTGTCTTATTTCAGGGAACTCTTTCCCGCTTTCTGCTTGAAACAGAAAGGGGTAGAATTGACGGGAAGGCACTGGGGAGATATGAGGCATTAAACTGCGTGGTTTGCTGTCAAAACTTGTTTTTCTTTTATGGGAAAGAGCGTGTACTGGCTTTTATTAAAAGTGGTTGTTTTCTTGTTGCAGGCTAAAGAACAGAAGGTTTTGCACAGAACAGAGTCTTCCCTCAATCAGACGCAGGCTGAGTGCAGCAGTGGTGAGTTGTTTCTCCAGTTTGTTACCTTAGAAGACATCAGTGTGTGTGAAATACGTGAACGTGGCCCTCAATGCAGTACTGATTCTGCTTCCCACTTATGCTTCTGTGTGCCTTGCTTCCCTTGTTTCAGATAAAGTCAAGTCTGTAATGCGTCTGACATGGCTTTCAAATCAGCATCCATAATGTATGTGAACTACTTGAGTTTTTGTAAATAGCATGTTCCCTGTGGATTTTGGTTTCCTGAAACTTCATTGCAACAATTTTTTCATTGCTCTCTGTTTTTCTTGTCTCATTCTTTCCTCGTAGTGTTCTGCAGAGGAGCATTTACTATCATATATATAAATGACATAGTAAAGGTTTTTGTCACCCATGCTTTACATATAAAATTTTGCAACTGTATCATCAGAAGTAGAATTTAATTTGAGTGAAACTGGAGTGTCTTAAACCTGTTCCAGTGCACGAGGCAGACTGAATCTTGTATTTCCATCTCAGTGGCTGTGCACAAGTTAGTTCTAAGTGTTCTGCCATGTCTTTTTGAAAATCTGTTAAAAGGAGGTGAATTAGGAAGATGTCAACAGAATGAGATTAAACTTGTTATATTAGTCATCCTATAAACTTACTGTTAAACATTAAAAATATTCTTCCATTGTCTCTGTATCCATTTGTTTTTTTCTGTGTCATCAGTACTGAACTCCATGACAGTCTCTTCTGAGTTCTGTCCAAGTTAATCCTTGAAATTGTCCCACTCATTTGTTTACTACCTGTTTTTTTCTCTTGGGTGTTTTTGGTCAGTTTCATGACCGTTTAACCTGAAAAACCATTCTTCTCCTCAGAATTTTTAATACTAACTGACTTACTTCCTTTAACACTATTGTCAGCCTTGCTCACTGCTGTCCTTTATTCCTGTGTTCCATGTTCTTTTATTCTTTGTGTCTTCTGCATGCTTTTTTCAGGCTTAGGTTTTAGTTTCAATGTTAAGTTTCCGTAAAAGTGAAATTTTGGAAGTTCTGTTCCTCTGTTTCTGTCCGTAGCAGTATAGGAAAAAAAACACCTCTAACTCTCACCTGCTATGACGTTTTTATTTGTTTTCTTTGCTGTGGTATAAATTGGGCAAACTATAGGAAGCCTTGTTCATTTACATAAAGGAAAATTACTATGTTGGTTTTGAAAAATCTTGGTAATGCCTAACAGTTGTTGTGGTGATTTTGGTGATTACTGCAGTTGTTAGTGGCTTTAAGTACTACATTTAATAATCAAGATACTGCTAGTTCTTTTGGATTCACTGTTGAGTAGAAGTACAAACATGGCATGATTAATACAGATATTGCAGTGTTAGAAAAGAGATTCATGGAAGAGTTTGTAGGAGGCAGGAGAGATCAGTGTAACTACCAACTTTTCCTGAAGCTGTTGGTATTCTAGTTAATGTGTTGTATTAGTATCATTGTGAACACCAACATTCCTGTTACTTGTTTCAGAAGGTGTTCTTGTGGCTTTTCAGCAGAAAACTTTTGTTTTTCCTGTTTTTCTGAAAACAAATGTGCTGTAAAAGACAGTGGTAAGTTTCTACTTGAACCTCCCAAGCTGCAGTATGTAGTTTTATTGTTGTTTATTAGTTGTGTAATCTGCTGACAAGAAGCAGAAAGTTATCTCAGTAAGCGCTCTTCTAGTTTTAAGTGTCTATGAAGTCTTCCCTTGGCTTCCACTTCATTAAACAAGTCCTCAACCTCTCCTCATAGTTAATTTACTTTAGATCCGCGACTGTCTTAGTAACTCTGGCCTCTCTGCAGTTCTTCCTACTCGAACTGAAGAAAGGGAGAACTGTGAGAACCAAACTGGAGACAGTGTTCTAGAAGCAGTGTCAGACACTGACTAAAAGAGGATAACAACATCTCTAGAATCACTTGTACTCTTAAAGTATCCCAGAAAATGTTTGCACTATGATCAATGAGAACACACAGTATTTTATGTGATACATTTACTGCTTTGTCTCCTTCTGATTTCATAAAACCATAACTGAATACATTCTTGCGCCTAATTACAGGGGAGAGAGTTGATTAAATTCCTAACAAATGAGAAAAAAGTACACAGTATACTGTACGAAGTATACTGCATTCTCTGAAGTCCAAAAAAGTGAAGTAGGGAGGCATTCAGTGTTTAAATTCTTCGTTTTGTTCCTTTACAGATGTATAACAGTCCTTGATTTCTTTTCACAACTGATGTGATTTTAAAATTATGATGTGTTTTAGTGTGATGAGAAAAGTACCTGGATACTCTTGCCTGTACTAAAGCATTGACTGCTCAGGAAAAAACAGTAAACTAGCCTAGGAAGTGTAAAACAAGAACATTTAAGAGACTTGGAATATTCTTGAAAGCAAACTATATTTGCAGATACTTCCTTAGAAAGGGAATCAAAGAATTAAGAGTAGAACAGAAGTGTGTCTTGGATTTTTGCCAGTAAAAGGAGATGAAGTAGTTTAGAATTGAGAATGGAAATGCGGGACATTGGGTGGTAAGGATGAGGAACTGTTATTAGTACGTGTGGTTTCTGAAGACACTAGTTTGTTGTGCTGAGGGGTGGCATTTGATGTGTCTTGCTTATCTTCCAGGTGTAACTGAGTTTGGTTTTTTTCCTGTCAACTGAGACTTGAGAGTATGCTGTTGTCTAGTTAAGTATTACCATATTAAGTGGGATCTTGGAGAGCTTGTTGTGTGTGATTAGTCTTTTTTTCCTCATGGCAATAGAGTCACGTTTGGTTTGCAGATGACTCTAT